GCCTCTGATCCCCTGGAACTAGAGTTGCAGATGGTTATTAGCTGCCGTGTGGGTGTTGGGAACCAAACTTGGGTCCTCTGTAAGAGCAACCAGTGCTCTTAACCACTGAACCATCATCTCTTGAGTCCCTATTTATTTCATTTGTGTGGGTATGTGGGTATACTCACATGTGTGCATGCACATGTGTACAGGTATATGTGCCCAGAGTCAGGAGGTGGACACTAAGTGTCCTCTATCACTTACTCCCTTGAGACTAGGTCTCTCACTGAATGTGAAGCTATAGACTAGCAGCCAGCAAGCCCCAACAGTACTCCTGTCTCCACTCCCACCCTTAGCATTGGGGTTACAGGTACACATGGCCACACGTAGCCACTCCCAGCTTTTTACATGAACTCAGGTTCAAACTCAGGTCTTCAAGCTTATGCAGCAAGTTTTCTTACCCACTGAGCCATCTCCCCAGGCCCCTGGTTGTCATTTTTTGTTGTTCTTGTTTGTTTTATTGGAGGGGGTGTCTGTTAATTTTTTTCTGTCCTTTTTTTTCTTAGTGAGCTCTTGTTTGGATAGCTTCTTTTGCTGTTTTGTGTTTTTAAGTTCACTAACCTTTACTTCTGCTTTTTTTTTTCCCCCCTGGTTTAGAAAGTCAGGCTGATTATTGCTTTGTGGGCTGGAGCCCTTAGTGGGTGTTTCCTTCTTCACTGTTCCAGGCTTCTGGTGTGATGTCTTCTTTGCCCAGCCTTAGGCCCATAGTCCTGAAAATCAGCTTGGCACAGTGGATGGAGTTGCCCCTTCAGATCACTGGGCTCAGTGCTGTAGCTCTGTTTATTCTTGATTGGAAATCGGATCAGTTCAGAGTCTCCATCCAGTGCAGATGTGTGGCCAGGTGGCCCTTATCACTCCCTCAGCCTGAATGAAGCACACAAGGGGGCTATGGCAAACTTTTATAAAGCTCTAGGGCCTGGGTTTCTCTCTTTTTCCTGTCTTCAGTTTCTTTCTCCCTATGTTTGGTTCTGCACTTCACCAATAGCCTTTGGGCCTCAAGCTGCTCCTAGGCTCACGTGTTTTCTCAGAATTGCAGTCCTGCTCTCTTGTTCTGTCAAATAAGTATATTTTGTCTTTTTCAAATTTGTTGATGTGAAAGCCTGGCGTGGTGGCGCACGCCTTTAATCCCAGCACTCCAGAGTTCAAGACCAGCCTGGTCGGCATAGAGAATTCCAGACCAGCTGGGGCTATAGGGAGATCCTGTCTCAAAAAGACTGAAAAGAAAAATATTTCGTTGATGTGAGACCAGAGCAAATCTGGTGCCAGTTACTCCATCATGGCCTGATCTTCATTTTTTTTTTCTTTCAATATGAAATGCTTTTTTACGTGGCTTATACTTTGTTTTGCCAGTTTTTTTGTGCATGTATGTATGGTGTGCATGCATGGGTATTGGGGGTTTTCACATATGTAGGCACTCAAATGTGTACATGTGCATGGGGAAGTTGACACTAGGTGTCTTCTTCAGTCACTCACCACCTTATATTTTGATGCAGTCTCTCATTTGAACCCAAATCTTGCCAATTTGGCTAGTGTGGCCAGCCAGCTTTCTTTGGGGATCCTCCTGTCTGCCTCCCATGTGCTGGGATTATAGGCAGGCTACCATGTCTGGCATTAGGTGGGTTCTGGGGATCTGAACTCTGGTCTTCATACTTAACCAGCGAGCACTTTACCTGCTGAGCCATCTCCCCAGCTCCTGTTTTGCCCATTTAAAAATGTGTTTTTATTTATGTGTATGTGTTTGTGCTTGCTTATCTGTAAGTTACCATGTTCAGGCACAGGTGCCCACAGAAGCAAGAAGAGGGCACCAGATCTTCTGGAACTGGAGTCATGGATGGTTGTTAGCAGTCATATGGGTTGTGAGAACGAACACAGGTCCTTTGTCAATTGTTGGCCTTATTTCCTAAGCTATCAACATCTTTTTCAGAAAGTCCCTGCCTATGCCTGTATCTTGAAGTGGCTTTCTTTACTTTTTCCTCTAACAGTTTCAGCATGTCAGGCCTTGCATTTGATCCATTTGGAGTGATTTTTGTGTAGGGTGTGATACAGGAATCTATTTTCATTCTTCTACATGTGGATATCCAGTTTTCTAATTGCTGTTGCTAACTTCTAATGTTATTTATTGAAGAGGCTGTCTTTAAAGTATATTTTGGCAGGTGATAGCAGCTCTGTGGATGATATATGGGTCCCCATCTGTTCCATTGATCTCCATGTCTGTTTTTTATCCTGCTCCCATACTGTTTTTGTTACTATGGTTCTGTGATAGAACTTGAAATCAGGGTTAGTGATTCCTCCAGCGTTATTCTTTTTGTCTAGAATTTCTTTGGCTATCCAGGGTCTTTGGTGTTTCCATATGAATGATGAGTGTCATTAGATTTATTTTTTTTTAATTTTTAAAAATTTTATTTTATGTGTATGAGTGTATTGTCTGCATGCGTGTAAGTGCATCCATGTCATGCAATCCCCAAGGAGGTCAGAAGAGAGCATCAGATTCCCCTGGCACTGGAGTTATGGATGGTTGTTAGCTGCCATGTGGGTGCTGGGAATCAAATACCCAGTCCTCTGCAAGAGCAACCAGTGCTCTTAACCACTGAGCCATCTCTCTAGCCCCATCATTAGATTTATTTATTTATTTATTTACTTATTTTTGGTCTTTTTGAAACGGTCTCCCTGTAGCCCCAGCTGGCCTGGAACTCACTGTATACCAGGCTGGGCTTGAACTCACAGAGATCCGCCTACCTCTGCCTCCTAAGTGCTGGGACTACAGGAGTGTGCCACCACACCCAGCAAGATGGGATAATTTTTACAGGAAAATCTGTGCCTGAGAAACTTTAAATGAAATTTTCTATTTTGAGACAGAATCTCATTTTGTAACCCTGACTGGCCTTGAACTAAGGGAGACCTGTCTCTGCCTCCCTAAGGCTGGAATGAAAGACTTGCCCTACCACACCCTGCATTTGTTTGTTTTTGAGACAAGCTGCCATCTAGTTTTGAGCTCAGACTGGCCTCCAACTTGCTTTCTAGCTGAGAATGACCTTGAATTGGGATTTCAGGCTTATGCCATCATGCCTAACTCTCCTTTTTTTCTTTTTAATACAGCTTTACTGAGATATAATTCACACACTGTAGACTTCACTCATTTGAAGTGCACAGTTTAGAGGTTGCTTATTCAGAGTTGTGCAACCATTGCACAGTTTTAGAACATTTCACCATCCTAGAAAGAATCCTTTACCCTACAGCAGCTACTTCCTGTTTCCTCTAGCCCCCTCCCTCTTCCGTAGTCCATTACTAATCTGTTTAGTGTTGCTACAGATTTACCAGCCCTGGATGTTTCACATAAATGGAATCATACATTATATGCTCTTCTCTGTGTGACTTCCCTCTTTTTTTTTTTTTGTTTTTTTGGTCTTTTTGAGACAGGGTCTCCTTGTAGCCCCAGCTGTCCTGGAACTCACTATGTAGATCAGGCTGGCCTTGAACTCACAGAGATCCACCTGCCTCTGCCTCCCTAGTGCTGGGATTAAAGGTGTGCGCCACCATGCCTGGCTGCTTCCCTCTTTTTTTAATGTATATGAGTGTTTTGCCTGCATGTATGTAAGTGTACCACATATGTGCAATACCCACGGAGGTCAAAAAAGGGTGTCCGATCCCCTGGAGCTGGAGTTAAGGGTGGTTGTTAGCTGCCACAGCAGGTATTCTTAACGGCTGAGCTATCTCTCCAACTCAGCATGTTTTGTGTGTGGTACTGAGCACTGAACCTAGAGTCTCCTAGAGTCTTTCGCCTGCTAAGAGAAACCTTCCACCACTGAGCTGCATCTCTACTTCTTTTACTTTTATTGTATTTTAGAGACAGGATCTCCCTGTAGCCCTAGCTGGCCTGGAACTCTCTATGTAGACCAGGCTGTCCTCTATCTCACAGAGATCTGCTTGTCTTTAACACCTGAGTGATGGGATTAAAAGCATGCACCACCACATCCAGTTTCCTTTTTACTTTTGAGGCAATGTTTTGCCAACTTCCCCAGGCTGGACTTGAACTCACTATATAGCACAGGAAGGCTTTGAACTTGTGATCCTCTTAGTTTAACCTCACAAATAGCCAAGGCCTTGTACCACCAGGACCAGGAATATGTCTTTGAATTTCATCCATGCTGTAGCATCTATCAGCATTTTATTCCTTTTTATGGCAGCATAATATCCTATTGTATGGGTATACCACATATTTATCCATTCCTCAATTGATGAGCACCTGGGTTGTAATCTCTTTGGAGCTATTACAAACAGTGCCAATAGAGCCAGGTGTGGTGGCGCACGCCTTTAATCCCAGCACCTGGGAGGCAGAGGCAGGCGGATCTTTGGATCTTTGTGAGTTCAAGGCCAGCCTGGTCTACATAGTGAGTTCCAGGACAGCTGGGTCTACAGGGAAGCCCTGTCTAAAAAAAAAAAAAAAAAAAAAAAAAAAGGATTGGTGAGATGGCTCTGTGGGGAAAGGTACTTGTTGCTAAGCCTGACAACCTGAGTTTGATCTCTGGGACCCACATGGTGGAATGAGAAAACTGATTCCTGCAAGTTGTCCTCTGACCACACAGGCACCATTGTCATTCATATATGTATGTATACACACACACACACACACACACACACAATTAATCAATCAGTGTAATAAAAAATGTTTCAAAGACTTAAGATACACAGCTACACTTTTGCTTATTTGTATGGCATGCCCCAGATGGATGTGTGATGCAGGGGTGGATAAGGACTGTTCTGACAACTTCCTACAAACAGGACTACTGCCACCCTCAGTGTTCAGAGAGGGCCTGCTTTTCCCACAGTCTGAGCTTTGGGCTGGGAGGGTCCCCTGGTCCAGAAAATGCCCTATAAACTGGTATCCTCTGCCGGCTCCTGGAATCCCAAGGTTGGTCTTTTTGTCCTGGCACTGGGGTGTGATGCCTGCTGTGTCTTCCTAGGGTGTCTGTGAGGAAATGACCTATGAGGAAATCCAGGATCACTATCCACTGGAGTTTGCCCTGCGGGATCAGGACAAGTACCGGTACCGGTACCCTAAGGGCGAGGTAGGTGGGATTTGGGGGCTTAGTCCCAGCACCTGCTGCCTGCCTGGTAGTGCTGCCTGTAGCCATGATTTGGGGACCTTGCCTCCAGGCAGGCAGCCAGGGCATGAGTTTCATCTCCATCAGATCCTGGCTCTGCTGCCTGGGCCTCTTCCCCTCCTTGGGTGGTGGGTGGACCTCTTTCCCTGTTTTTGTTTTCTCCCTTTCCCAGTGTAGATCTGGCAAGGACAGGACCTGAGCTGGGTGACCCTGGCTTCCTGGGGTTTGGCTCTGCTAGGACTCCTGTAGCTAGCTCATGGTCTCCTGGCATGCCCAGGCTGGCTTTTCTCAGGGAGTTGTCAGCCTTTTCCAGGGTGCCTAAGTGGCCCAGGACTTGGGCCTCCTCCTGCCTGACATTCCACCCTTACCCACTCTCGTCTTAGCACTGGACCTTTGTCCCTCCACCAGATGCCTCCCTTTGTCACAGGGTGACTCTGCCCTTGTCCTTGCAGTTCTGTGTGCCAGCCCCGCTCTGCTTCCAGGTCCATGGGGACCCTCTCCAGAAAGATTTGGCAAAGTAACTTCCCTCAGAGCGATTCCTCGGTCCACCCACCCAGGTTGGAAAGTAGGGGTCACTTGCCTCAGGAATCTCCTGCTTTGAGGACAGGGCCTGGGATGGTGGTCAAATGAAAATAACCCCTGAGACACACCTGTGTGTATCCATACACCTGTGCAGAAGGAAACACACCCCACACTGCACTGTACTGTTCTCCGGAATCATGTAGCTCTGGGTGACCTGAATAGTTCCTAAGTCCTGCTGTGAGGTAGAGGTTCAGATTTAGAACCAAACCAGGTAGCAGTAAAGAGAAAAAGAGAAACAAAGCAAGGCTGGGAGATGGCTCAGTCAGGAAAGTGCTTGCTGAGGAAGCATGAGGACATGAGTTTAGTCCCCAAAGTCCACATTTAAAAACAAAATTAAAAACTGGGTGTAGGGGCTGGAGAGATGGCTCAGTGGTTAAGAACACTGGTTGTTCTTGCAGAAGACCCGGGTTCGAATCCCAGCACCCACATGGACACTAACAACTGTCCATAACTCCAGTTCCAGGGGATCCAACAGCCTCTTCTGTTCTCTGTGGGCACTGCACGACATGGGTGCACTGTACCTACACATAGGCAATACATGCATACACATAAAATAAAAATAATAAATAAATAATTAAAAAAAACCAAACCAACCCCCCCCAAAAAAACTGGGTGTAGTGTGCATGTTTGTAATCCCAGCCCTGGGGAGGTGGGGACTGGTGGATTTCTGGGGCTCCCTGGCCAGCCAGGCTAGCCTACTTAGTGAGCTCCAGGTCAATAAAAGACCCTGTCTCAAAAAATAAGGTGGATGACACCTGAGGAGCTCTCACATGTTCATGCACACACATATAAATAAATAAATAAATAAATAAATAAATAAATAAATAAATAAATAAATAAATAAAAAAGGGGGCTGGAGAGATGGCTCTGCAGCTAAGAGCACTGGCTGCTCTTGTAGAGGACTTGGGTTTGGTTCCCAGCACCCACATGGCAAACAGCTATCCATAACTCCAGTTCCAGGGGACCTGACACCCTCTTCTGACTTCCATGGGCATTTCATGACATGGGTGCACTTACATACATGCAGTCAATGCATTCCTACATATAAAATAAAAATACTAAATAAAATAATACAAAATTTTTACATAAATAAAAAAGAGAAAGCAACTGGCTACTTAAATTTGAGAATGCAGGAAAAAATCACTAGGAAATTAGTTACCAAAAGAATCAGGTAGCTGGAGAGATGGCTCAGCAATTAAGGGCACTTGGCTACTCTTGCAGAGGACTTGGGTTTGGTTCCCAGCCCCCACCTGGTACCTAACAATTGCCCCTAACTCCAGTTCCAGGGGATCCTACACTCTCTTCTAGCTTCAACAAGCATTGTACACATGTGGTGCACTTATGTACATGCAAAACACTCATACACATAAAAAATCAGTTGGTCTAAAAAAAAAGAATCAGGGTTTCCCAGAACTGTTGGAGGTCAACACAAACCAGGGCAGTGATATTGCTTCCCAGTCCCAGCATGGGGAGGTTCTACTGGAGGGTTTATTTTGAAGAGTGGATCATCACTATGCAGAAGAATGGATTCCCCCCTCCCATTTCTCTGGTAACTGTTGAGTAAGGGGATGCTTCAGGGACCAGCAGGGATCAAAGGTCCTCATTACCACACGTAGGGGAGGGAACCCAACCTGCAGGGAGACTACACAAAGTTGTTCCTGGGATCTAAGGTGTTTCTGACAGTTGTCAGATTCAAGGAAGTTCTAGGGCCCTGGTCCTGCCAAACACACCCACTGCCCACTGCCCTTGCTGTGGACTGGAAGAGGATAGCATCTTTTCCCTCAGTCACAGTCACCAGCATATGAATTGGTATTTTGGAAGGAGCCACAGAGGATCCCATGGTTAGGCATGAATGCGGATCTGACCTCTCTGTCCTACCAGGCCCTAGCCCAGGAAGGTGGAGGTGGCCCCCTTTCCTAGGTTGTCCCCAGTCTGTACCCGGGCTGGAGCAGTGCTTGAAGGGCAGCTACCCACTCCTTCCCCTCAAGAGCTAGGCTAGAGGGGGCCTAAACACAACCTCTGGCATGGTGATCAGCTCCAGGAGTCAGAGGTGGCCCATTGCTCAGGACACTTCCATCCTACTTGAGCCAGGCCTGCGAGACACTTTTCCTTCTTGTCCTTGCAGTCCTACGAGGATCTGGTCCAGCGACTGGAGCCTGTCATCATGGAACTGGAGAGGCAGGAGAATGTGCTGGTTATCTGTCACCAGGCTGTGATGCGCTGCCTCCTGGCCTACTTCCTTGACAAAGCAGCTGGTGAGGGGCCTTGCCCCAGGGAGATGGGCTGCCTGTGAGAGGGGGACATCCTGGCATGTATGGTATGCTAGCCCTGTCCTCTTTTGTCCACAGAAGAGCTGCCCTACCTCAAGTGTCCCTTACACACAGTCCTGAAGCTAACGCCTGTGGCTTATGGTAAGGGAACTTCCTGTGTTGACCTTGGAGTGTTTTCTTGGCTGTCTGTAGGGTTCTGTGATCTTCTGAAAATCCCTTAAAATTCCTATTGGGGATTCATTTGTCTCCCCCTCCCTCCCCTTTCCCAATTTGCTTTTACTTTTTTTCTTTTGTTTTCTTGAGACAAGGTTTTGTTCATGATCCTCCTGCCTCAATCTCCTGAGTGCTAGAATTAGGCGTAACTTGCTGTAAAAAAAAAGTTTACTATAAAAAAGTTATGGGGCCAGGTGTGATGGTGCATAACTTTAATCCCAGCACTTGGGAGGCAGAGGCAGGCAAATCTCTGTGAGATCGAGGCCAGCCTGGTCTACATAGCAAGTTCCAGGCCATCTGGGGCTACAGGGAGACCCTGTCTCAACAAGACAAAAAAAAAAAAATTATGGTAGCTTATACTTGTAATCCCACTGACTGAGGTAGAAAGAGTGCCAGGAGTTTGAGGTCAGCCTTGGCTACATAGTGAGTTCAAAGCCAGCCTGGCTTTAGAATAAGACCTTCCCTCCACCAAGTTTCTGGGGATACTGGAAACCTAGTCCATGATCTTTCATTTTCTTTAAATTTAGAATATCCTGGGTGCAGAGCATTTGTATCCTACCCCTGCCTGTTACCGCACCAACAGAAACTCAAGCCACTCCCTGGTTTTTTGGGGGGGCACTCATGGGGGATTAAGCCCCCTGGGTAGCTGCTGTCCTTCCAGTGTTTGATAATCTACTCATCCCCCCTTCCTCCTAAGGTTGACTGGGCCTTCTGTGACAGGATTGAGGGTGTAACTGGTTTGGGGGCCCCAAGAGTCAGTGATGTCATGTTGAACATAGACCTGTTGCTGCTGCAACCACCATCAGTTCTTAGAGGAGGCAGCTTTGAGCCTCTCTGTGACACATGGCACACACACGGATAAGCAGGAGTCTGACAAGGCGCTTTGTCCCTTCTGGTGGGCTCTGGGAGCACCTTCAGAAGGATGAGGGTATAGCTGAGCTCCACTGCCCATAAGCTTCAGCCTCCTCCTCAGAGCTTTTGTCCTGTGTGCTCTGGTGGCTTTGTGCTAGGAGATTGCACTGGGCTCTTCCTTTGGCAGGTTGCAAAGTGGAGTCCATATTCCTGAATGTGGAAGCTGTGAACACGCACCGGGACAGGCCTCAGGTAGCAATGGGGTCACCGCTGGGGTGGCGGAGCTGTTTCCCGGGGGTGTCCTGATAACATATCTTCAGGATCCCCTAGCTGAGTCACTGGCCAGAGAGAGGTGGTTGTCTCCCCAAGACTTTTTTCTGCCTAGACCTGTCTCCTTGTGGTCAGGGTGGGGCTGTGGCTTGGTTAGGTATCTCCCAAGACCAACTCCCCTGGGGAGGTCCCTGGAGTTGGGCCACTAGGCAGAAAGCACCTGAGCATAGGTGCTCTACACAGTGGGGCCCCTGGCTTCCTGCCAAGGGTGTACCTGCTGGGTGATTCTGCTCACCTTCAGGCCTTTGCCCTTGAACACTGTGGGCACAGATGTGCAGATATAGCCTCTTCCTTCTCATCGCTACTGTGTTAACCAGCAGCAGCCACCATGCCTGTCTCTCTCTCGCTCCTTTGTTCTGAGAATCGGTACATCTTGGCAGTTTGGCCCAGATCTAGTTTGGCACCGGTAGGTCACAGGGGAAAGCATGTTCTACTGGGTATCTTCTACAATGAGGAAATCCTAGGTAGTGTGGGGCCCCCAGCATTGACAGAGTGATGATGAGGCCCCTGGACCTGACAGCCTTGGGGACTGACCCTGCCAGCCCATGGCCATGCTGTGGCTGATTGTCTGTTTGTCTGCTTCAGGATTGGGCCCTTCAGGTAGACAGGACCCAGGGTCTTCTGACCCATCTTTGGGGACATGTTATGGTAGGAAAGGGGACAATCAAGAATCCTGCCTCAAGACTTGGATGAGCTCAGTGCTTGCCTAGCATGCGCAGAGCCCAGTGTTTGATCCCCAGCAGTGCATAAAACTAGGCATGGTGACTCATGCCTGTCATCCCAGCACTTGGACGTGGAAGAAGGGGATCAGAAGTTCAAAGTCATCTTTGACTACATACTGAGTTCAAGGGCAACCTGGGTTACATGAGACCCTATCTTAAAAAACAAAACAACAAAAAACAAAATAAAACAAGCTGGGCCTTGCTTTTAATTATAGGACTTGGCAGAAACAGGCAGGTATCTGTGAGATCAAGGCCAGCCTGGTCTACATAGTGAGTTCCAGGCCAGCTGGGGCTACAGGTAGATCCTGTCTCAACAAAAAAAACCAGCAAGAATTGTAGCTGCTTCTACAATTCCAGTGACTGGCCTGTAAGCCTAAGGCATGAGCCAAGAGGACCATGTCTGTCCCTGTAGGGCTGAGCCTGTCATGTTGCACAGATCTGTAACTTATCTCATTGGTGACCTGCTCCTGTAGGTACCAGTTCCAAGGACCCATAGCCGGGAGCAAAGGAAACCAATGAGGGTTCACCCAGGACAGCCTCACAGAGCTGAGGGAAGTTCAGAGCCCCCCATTCCTCAGGCCTGAGATGCTCAAAGGTCAGCAGGCCATGGATGGAACTAGGTTTTACGGCTTTGTGGGGGACATCTAGTGAGAGCTTCACCAGCTTCCAGGGGCCTCATGGCCCAGCCCTAAGGGGATAGACCAGGCTTCAGACTAGGTGTCCACTGGCTGCTAGGGTTGCATCTGATACCTGTCCGATGACAGAGCCAGGAAGGAGGCACACCCAGGAGCTGAACCCCCTCCCTCCTCCTGGTCTTCCTCACCAGCTATCCATCCCTCAAATGGGAGGTGGGTGGCGTTGCAGTGGAGCAGGGAGTGGCTGACATCCTCTCCCCACCTTTGTGCTATCATTTGATGGTGTCAGGAAACTGGTGACCCTGTGCTCTAAGGGGAGGTTAGGGTCTTGCAGCTGGGGCAGCTGAGGTGAGCATGTGTGTCTATCTGGCCATAGGGATAAAGATGGAAGGAATGAGGCATCCCATCTATTCCTGCTCAGGGTGAACGTTCTTTGTCTTTATTGTTGTGCAGAATGTAGACATCTCCAGGCCTTCGGAGGAAGCCCTTGTCACAGTCCCTGCTCACCAGTGACCACCTCTCATCTAAGACCCCTGGACAGTCGAGATCATTCCAGGCCCCCCTGATGTTTGCAGCACTGGCCTTGTCACCATGTAGGAACACTCCTGATGGCCATGGGTGGCGAGCAGCTCCCAGAACCTTCAGTTCAGCCTACCTGCTCTCCTGTTGACAAGCAACGACAGGGCTGGGTGTGGCTGTTGACCTGCTGCTAAGAATCCCTGGGTTGCTTGGCTGTGTGGCTGGTGAGGCTGCCCTGCTGGCTCTCAGGCAGCCTTCTCACCATGCAAGCTGTTTTTGTGAACTGTGAAATCCTAAATGTGACACAGAAAGTCTCACTGGGATGTTCCCACTGTGGTTTAGCTGCCTAAAATGGACCAGTGACCTCTGGCAGAGCTCTACTGTCCTCGCTATAGCCATTCTTTTTTTTGAAACAGGACCTCACTAGTCCTGCCTAGCCTATAGACCAGGATGGCCTCAAACTCAGAGATCCACCTGCCTCTGCCTCACAAGTGCTGTGCCCAGCCTCTGTAGCCACTCTTGAAGCCAGAGGCCAGGTTTCATGGGACTCTGGGTGTATACTGTCTCAGGAGAGAGGGGGACCCTGCCCCCTCCTTCCTTGTCTGGAACAGAAGAGCTGTCACCCACATTCGTGGACACTCTTGAGAACAGTGTGTTCTCTTTGTCATGTAACACTGAATAAAGGCAGGAAGGCAGCATTTGTGGTGCCCCTTCCTAACTTCTGCCAAGGCATACACTGAAATGCGAGAGAGCTGGGGCCTGGCTGCCTTGTCCCAGGTTCTCTCACAGGAGTCATGTAAAGACAGGACAGCTGCATGAGTTACTTTCTCAGCATGCACACCCAAGTGCTTGAGAAAGCTGGTCTTCCTGGTCACTGCCCACAAAGGAATGTACATTGGTGTCAGGGACCTGTCTTTGCCTAAATAGTCCAGAAAAACTGATGGTCCTATTAAACTTGTCCTGCTGTTTGTCGACCTCCACCTGGGGACCCAGGAAGGAGGGGACAAAACCCAGAAGCAGCCCCTAGCCTGGGGAGTAGTCCCCAGTCCCACCTCAGCCTTGGCATGTGTGTATATGAGCCAAGTGCAAACAGCTTTGTGAAGCCTGGTGCCTCTCACGCTCTGAGTCCTGTGCAGCACTTTCTAGCTCCCTGTCTCAAATGGCCTACGAAATGACAAGCAGGTTGTGAAGCAGGGCAGGAAACTCTATAGCAGCAGTTGGTGCTCTGCTGTTCACAGAGGGGCCTTGGGGAAGCCAGGCCCTGCATCCAATAACCCTGGGCCTGGCAGAGCAGCCTACCTTTTCCAGCCCTGCCAACACTGGGGTTTGTAGCCTGCGGGTGCTGTCTGCCCTGAGAGAAGTCAGTGTCCCTGTCCCCAGCCAGTGGTCTCTCATCCTCTTGTGCTGTAGCAGCTGTAGTCAAGAACAGGTGTCTGGGATGGGCCTGGGGTAGGACCCTTCTGGACTCCTCTCCCATCAGAGCTCCAAGCTGGGGCTTGGAGCTAGAAGACTACTGCCTTCAGGACATGGGAACTACAGCCATTGTTTCTGTGTCTCTGAGTTTGAGTGACTTTCGTCCTTGGACACACTTGTTAGCCATAGCAGGTCCCTATGTGAATATAACTGGACACCACCGGAGGTTGTGAGACCACCGAGGCCTTTTTTTTTTCCCTCTGTACTGAGGAAAAGCAGGAGCTGTTGGATTATACATAAAAGGTTTAAGGTTGGAGCAGGGTGTCAGCAGGGCGGGTCATGTGCAGAAACAGCCCCTCCCTCAATCGTCTTGGGGTGGCTTTGCAAGGCAGCCACATGCCTGGCTGGCCACCAGGTTTTAACTGGGCTGGTTCATGTATCTGAGTTTCAGACATTGCCTTGCTTTGATAGAATGGATGGTACTGGAGTTCGGCTATACATTGCACTGTGTCTAGCATTCTTTGCAATAAATACTTTTAAAAAAAAAAAACAGTCATTTGAGATGGATTTGTGGCTAGTTCTCCATTTGTGAGGTGTTCTCTCTCTGCCGGCTCTGTAGACACCCCATGTTGTAGTCTTTCTCATAGGTGTGTGTTTGGTCTTTCAGTCAGCTTACACCTAGGCAGCCTCCTTGAAAAACATACTTAGTTAGAAGGTGCTCAGAATAGAATTAAAGCTTTGCACACTAATATATTTTCTACATGGTCTTAGGAAACTGTTGATAAATAAAATCATACCTGTAACAACTTGAAAAATCTTCTAATTTGTAGCATCTGTTTTTAATCTAAAAAATAATAAAAATTGCCAAATTCTATGATTATAAAACACATGAAGACCGAGTATGTGCTAATCCACTGTTCAGAGACCACTGTGATTGCAGTAATGTTTTTAGATAGTTTTGGTCTTGAGAATATAAAAATATATTCTTGGGCCGGGCATGGTGGTGCACACCTTTAGTCCCAGCACTTGGGAGGCAGAGGCAGGCAGATCTCTGTGAGTTCAAGGCCAGCCTGGTCTACATAGTGAGTTCCAGGCCAGCTGGGGCTACAGGGAGACCCTGTCTCAAAAAGACCCCCCCCAAAAAAATATATATATGTTCTTAAACTTTTACTTAACTAGGACAGGACCATGCTAGTTAATGCCATCAAATTGCCTTTTTTCTGCAAATATTTAATTTTCATCATAGAAAGATTTTAGATTTTTAGCAGTTATTACTGTTTTTAACATTGGCTGTATTATTTGGCATGAGTGAGATGTTGAGGTAGTATCAGTTTTGGAATTCTTCAGGCATAGCAAACCATTCCAAATTCTGGCTTAAATTCCATGGTCAGTGATTGTTCCAGCTGCCTGGTTCAGGCTTGCCATTTTTGGTGAAAGAAGCAGATTTTCACCTATATATAGGGTTTTAGCTGTATTTACTGTTTCTGAACATGGGCAACTGTTAATTGATTTTTCAATCCGTAATACACACACACACACACACACACACACACAATACAAAATTTGGAAGACCCAAAGATTTAGAAATGAAAAGTAAATTTTCTTTTGCTTCCAGCCCCCAACCAGCTGCCTCAGCCTCCATGCCACCATGCCCTGCCTCCTTCCCATACTGCATTCCTTGACAAGATGCTGAGCACAGCCTACATGCAAGTGAGGGAAGCTTTGAGCTCCCCCTCTTGAGGGAAAGGGAATATTGGAATAAAGTATTTGAAATTTTCTAAATAAAAAAGAAAAAAAGAAAAACATAGAGCTGGGCGTGGTGGCGCATGCCTTTAATCCCAATCCCAATATTCAGGGGGCAGAGGCAGGTGGATCTCTGTGAGTTCAAGGCCAGCCTGGTCTACATAGTGAGTTCTAGGACATCTGGGACTACAGGGAAACGATGTCTCAAAAAATACGAAAAAAAAAAAAAAAAAGCCATGTGTGGTGGCACACACCTGCAATCTCAGCACTCAGGAGGCAGAGGCAGGAGGCTCATTAGTTTAAAGCTATCCTTAGCTGTTTACATTTTTTTAAAGCTACATTACATCTATGCCTGAATAAAGAAGCAGCCTGACACTAAGTCTTCATTTTAAGGCCAAGAGTGGACCCGAACTCTCTGAGAACTATGTGTTCTTTCAGATGGCTCACAGAACTTTGCCCTTGAAACAGGCTTCAGTCCTACTTTTATTTAAGCATCAAATGGGGAAGTAGAAGCTAGGATCACCTAGATCAGAGAATCTTGCCCTTTTATCCTAGGCCTAAAATCACACCCACAATATCAAACAGTTGTCTCCATTGTCCTTTGATATGCTAATCAAGCATGCCCACACTCACTATCTTGGGTAGGGGGCAAGGTGGGGTCCTGAAGGATTAAGTTCAGGTGCCCAGGTCACAAGAGGAGCACATGGCCCAGTGAGATTGTTTACATTATAAATAGCCTTTTGGATTGCAAGGTTAGGTGAAAGTCTTTAGGTCAGATTATGCCCATGTCGTAAAAGCCATTCCTGCACTCAACTACATCATGAGTTTGAGACCAGCCTGAGCTATACTAGACCTTGTCTCAAAAAAAAAAAAAAAAAAAAAAAAAACCAAAATAACCCATACAAACATATTTTTTAAAAAAGGCAAGGGGCTGGAGAGATGGCTCAGTGGTTAAGAGTGCTTGCTGTACAAGCCTGAGGGCCAGAGTCAGGATCTTAAAGTTGGGTCAGCAAGATGGCTCTATGGGTAAAGGCATTTGCCACCAAACCTGACAGCCTGAGTTCAATCCCTAGTATCCACATGGCAGAAGGGGAGAGTTGACTCTCGAAAGTTATCTTCTGACCTCCATGACATGTGCAAGCCGATGTACGTACACACACACACACACACACACACACACACACCAAACAAAAAATATAAACAAACAAACAAATCCAGGCATGGTCCCACCCCTATGCATACTTGTAACCCCAGCACCAAGTGGGGGAGAGAAAAGGCATGATTGCTGTGAGCTCCAGGTTCAGTAAGAGACCTTGCCTTAAAGGACCAAAGCCAAGAGTTATAGAGGCTGAGACTGAATGTTCTCCTCTGGCCTCTGCATGTATAGCAGGAACACCTACACACATACGCATGCATGCATCACACACACACACACACACACACACACACACACACACACACTACAAACTATGTAAAAAAGTTTTATTTCTTCCCCAGTCCCATGGACTCAACAAACTATGTAAATTTTTAAAAATAAAAGAAAAAGATAACAGTCTGGGTAAGCTGGGCATTGTAGCTCACACTTGCAATTCTAGCACTTGAGGCTGAGGCAGGATTGAAAGTTCAAGGCTAACCTGGGCCATGTAGTTCTAAGGCAACTAGTGATACAGTATGAAACTGCCTCTAAAACAAAATCAACCAACAGACAAATGAAGCATAGGGACTGGGTCGATGGCTCAATGGATAAAAGCTCTTATCACAAGCTAGGACCTGAATTTGAATCCCAGAATCTACATGTCTTACTTTTCCTGTTGCTATGATAAAATACCTGACATAAGCAACCTAAGGAAGGAAGGCTTTCTGTTGGTCCACACTTCCAGGGTCCAGCTCATCATGGTGGGGAGGTCATGGCAGTAGGAACTTGAGATGGGTGGTCCAGTTGTATCTGAAGTTAGGAAGCAAAAACAATGGATGCTAGTGCTCAGCTTCCTTTCTCCTTTAAAAAATCTTTTTTATGTACAAGTGTTTTGTCTTCATGTATATAAGTACAAAACATGCATGCAGTGCCTGTACAGGCCAGAAGAGGGCATCGGATCCCCCAGAATTGGCTTTATGGGTGGTTATTAGCTACAATGTGGGTGCTGGGAACTGACTGGATAACCACTGAGCAATCTCTCCAGCCCCCTTGCTTTCTCCTTTTAAAGCAGTCCAGGACCTCATGGAACGGTGCTGCCTGCATTTAGGGTAGGTATTCTCATTTCAATTAACCTAATCAAAATAATACCTCACAGGTTTCTCCAGAGGTTAACTTAATTTAGATAATCCCTTACAAGTGTGCCTGGAGGCTTGTCTCCTAGATGCTTCTAGATCCTGTCAAGTTGGCAATCAATATAAACATCACATCAAGTGTCTGCAATCTTACCACTCCTATAGGAATGTGGAAAGCAGGCAGAAAAAGCCCAGAAACTGGAAGGGCCAGCCTGCCTGGGGTACTTGATAGAAAAACAACAAAGAGACCCCATCTCAAGTAAGGACTGATACCTGATATGCTCCCATTCTTACATACAGAGGTACACACAAATAAAAATTCATAAAACAAAACACGCCTGGGCTTCTTCCAATGTTGCTGAGTCTCTGTCTCCTGCCTGCCCAACCCATGAAACATACGGGTTGTGGCCTTCAGGCACTGCTTGCGCCTCTACTTCATCTCCCACATCTCCATCACCCTGTTCATCCACCTGCAGATGGTGCTGCCATCCAAACTCTACCCAGCTGAAGTGGTACTTTAAAGAGTTCAAAGAGCCTCTGATGCAGGATTCCCAACTGTGACTCAAGTCCTTCCTGGTTTTTTTCTTCTTTTTTAAATATTTTGTTTATTATTTTTATGTGTATGAGTGTATTGGCTGTATGTATGTAAGTGCACCCATGTCCTTCAATGCCCATGGAAGTCTGAAGAAGGCATTGGATCCCCTGGAACTGGAGTTACTGATGGTTGTTAGCTGCCATATGGGTGCTGGGAACTGAACCCAGGTCCTCTGCAAGAGCAGCCAGTGCTCTTACCTGCTGAGCCATCTCTCTAGCGCAAGCCCTTCCTGCTTTGTGAGCTGCTTTTCCCACTGCTTTTCTATCCCGTTGCAGCACATGCTTCTTCAAAGGAAGCTGCTGGTAGATCTGGATCCCCGCAATCATCTACTTAGGTCACACCATAGCAGCTTTCATTCCAATTCTCCACACATTTCTACTTGAGGATTTCTCCAAAGCTATTGCTTTCAGAGGGCCAAGACCTGAGACTTCCTGTGAACAACTGACCTTCACTGGTGTTTATGTTCTTGTTTAATCATCCCCCTCACACTTCTACATTTCATGTTGTGGAACCCACATTGCAAGTATGAGGAGAAAAATAAAATAAGAGACAGCCTCGAGCTAGTTTGGAGAGATGCCCACAGCACAAGTTCCCTTCTGGACAATGCAAGAAAAACGGCTCTAAACTCGAGTTTTCAGTAGCACTTGAAACACATCAACAACAGTGCACAAGAACAAGACAGTTCAAGAGCCATGCCAAACGCTCACCTTCCAAGAGAGGAACAGGCCATCAGCAGGGGTAGGGGTCAGGTTATAGCAAAGTATGCCAAATATCTTACCGTGTACCATCCCAGGATTACTAAGAACAGCAGAGCAGAAACTTGGTGAGCTTCCACACAAGGCCTGCTTGACATGTTCCTAAGTCATGTGACTTAGAATGCTCACACCCCACGAAACCCTTGACTCAGGATTTCTATAGCTGACCACTGGTGAGGAGTGGGATGT